ATTTTGGTACTTGTTATCCAACTTATTTCTTTTTTTTAATATTTATTTTTTAGTTGTAGTTGGACACAATATCTTTTTTTTAAAACAATATATTATTTTTTTTAAGAGAGAGAGAGAATTTTTAATATTTATTTTTTAGTTTTCGGTGGACACAACATCTTTGTTTGTATGTGGTGCTGAGGATCGAACCCRGGCCGCACGCATGCCAGGCGAGCGCGCTACCACTTGAGCCACATCCCCAGCCCCTGGACACAATATCTTTATTTTATTTATTTTTATGTGGTGCTGTGGACGAACCCAGGGCCTCGCACGTGCTAGGCGAGCGCTCTACTGCTGAGCCCCAGCCCCAGCCCTTATCCAACTTATTTCTATCTCGCTTCCCTTAATTGGGATGCTTTGTTCCAGTTTTTAACGAACCATTAATTCTACTATTGTGACTTTTTCTGGGTGTATGTATGTGTCACTTTGGAGTCAAATTTTGCGTATTTAACTTTTAAAATAATATTTTTAGCTGTAGATGGACACAATATTTTATTTATTTATTTGGTGTTCAGAATTGAACTCAGTGCCTCACAATGCTAGGCAAACACTCTATTACTGAGCCAAAACCCCAGCCTGCATATTTAACTTTATTAAAACTCTTGTATTAGGGGTTTGGTAGTATCAAATTTTACTACAGACAAAAATTTTTTTTTTCTGGGTTAAACTTTGGATCCAAATTCTTTTTTCATGATTGCTGATCAACGTGGACATGGAGCTCTTACTTTCCTCCAGTTGGCAAAACCTCCCACAAACTCCTCTTAAGATATGGAGTTTCTTTCCCTATACTTGAACCTGAACTAGCCTTGAGTCTTATTCTAATCAATAGATTGCCTCAGAAATGATGCTTTCCCATTCTGGGCCAGGGCCTTAGAAAGTATTGGTGGCTTTTTCTCTTGCTGCTGTTATTTCAAAAATTTTAACTGTAGTAAAATATGTATAACATCAAATTTGCCATTAACCCTTTTTTTAGCTTATTTTTTAGTTGTAGTTGAACACAATACCTTTATTTTATTTATTTATTTTTATGTGATGCTGAGGATTGAACTCAGGGCCTTGCATGAGTCAGGCAAGCGTTCTACAGCTGGACCCCCCCACCACCATTAACCCTTTTTAAGCCTACGGTTCAATGGCACTGGTTGTGTTTACAAGTTGCACAATCACAACCACTATGGAAACAGAACCCTGTAACATACACACTTTCCCTCAGCCCTGGTAACCTCTGTTCTACTTTCCATCTCTACCAGCTTGCCTATTCTAGATATCTCTTTGTTAGTCAGTATTTCGTCACTGTGACAAAATATCTGAGAAAATTATCTTATAAGGAAAAAAGTTTTAGTTTGGCTTCTAGTTTCCCAGGTTTCAGCCTTCAGCACCTGGGCCTTTGGGGGACATTTTAAGATCCAAACTGTAGCACACATATAAGTAGAATCAACCGATATCGTCTTTCTGTGTGTAGCTTGATTCACTGGCCACAATGTCATCAAGATTCATCCATACTGTATTATGTATCAGAACTGCATTTCTTTTTATGGCTGAATAACACTTTGTTGTATGTATAAACCACATTTTGTGTGTTCATTTATCTACTGATGGACACTTGGGTTGTTTTTGCGCCTTGCCTCTTAGGAATAGTGCTGTGATGAACAATGACACACAAGTATTTCTTTGACTCTGGGTTTTCAGTTCTTTTGGGGTAGACACCACGGAGGAGTATTTATGGTCATATGGTAATTCTATGTTTAGTTTTTTTTGAGCAACCGCAGAACCATATTCCACAGTGGCCTTGCCATTTTACATGACCACCAGCAATGCCTGAGGGTTCCAATTTCTCCACAACCTCGCCAGTATTTGTTCTTCCTCATTTAAAAAAATTGTATCTAAACTGGGCATAGTGGTGTGAGCCTGTAATCCCAGCTACCCAGGCAAGTTGGAGGCCAGCCTTGGCAATTTAGTGAGACCCTGTCTTAAAACAAACAAACAAAGAAACAATAACAATGCTCAAATTGAGTCTGTTCAGGAAGATATAACAAAATATGATACACTGAGTATCTTATAAATGACAGACATTTATTTCATTTATTCACAGTTTGGAGGTCGGGAAGTCCAAGATCAAGGTGGTTTGAGTATCAGTGAGGACCTGCTCTCTGGTTCACAGATGACATTGTCTAGCTCTGTTCTTATGAGGTGGGCTGGGTGTAAGGGAGCTCTCTGGCACCAATCCCATTGATCACTGATAAGGACTCAGCCTCAAAAGCTAAGGTCCTTCCAAAAGCTGAACTTCTGAACACTGTCACTTTGGAGTTAGGGTTTCATCTTTGAGTTAATTTTTACATATCGGGTCATTCATTTCTGGACCCTGAATCCTTGCCTACTAATTTATGTTTCTCCTACAGCAGAACCACATGACTTGGTTATTGTAGCCTTGTATTAAGTTTAGGCTGATGATGATTTTTTTTTTTTTTTTGGTGGTGGTGGTGCTGAGGATCAAACTCAGGGCCTCATTCATGCCAGGCAAGCACTCTACCAATTGAGCTACACCCACAACTCCTTTGTATTAAGTTTAGAAAATGTGAGTCTTCCAACCTTGGGATGCCTCTTGTAATTTTACGTGAATTTAAAGATTGGCTGCTTCGTTTTTGCAAAAAAAGACAGCTGGAATTTTGATAGGGTTTGTACTAAATCTGTCAATAGCTTTGGGTAGTATCTTAAGAAAATAAGTTTTCCTGTTCTTCATCCAGATGTATATGGCATTCCCTTTAGATGCTCTTTCATTTCTTCCAGAAATATTTTTTTTTTTGTAATTTTCAGTGTTGTGGTTTTAGTGTTTACCTCCATGTTTAAATTTATTCCTAGATTTACTAGAAACTATTGCAAATGGATCTGCATTTATTTATTTTGCTTAATTAAAAAAATTATCTGCAGTCATGGGGATGGAACTCAGGACCCAAGTACATACTAGGCAAGTATTTTACCACTGACCTACATCTACAGTGTTTTTTAAATTTCATTTCAAGACAAGCTCTTGCTAAGTTTCTCAGACTGGCCTTGAACCACTGATCCTCCGTTCTCACCACACCCTGCTTTAATTAAATTGATTTTTAAAATTGTTTTCTTAGTTACCTTTTGGATTGTTTGTTGCAGGTATATGGGAATTCAGCTGATGTTTTTGCTGTTGATATTGTGTCCTGCAACTTTGATGAACTTGTTTACAGCTCTGTAGGTTTCTTGAGGATTCCTTAGGGTTTTCTATGTATAGTGTCATGCAAGTTGAGACACTTTAGCATTTTCCTTTCAAGTTTGGATGACACTTCTTTTTTGTGTGATTGCACTTTGGCACAATTCCCCAGCTCTCCAGTTTGCAGACGGTCTGGTGTGGGACTTCTCAGCCTGCATGATCATATAGCCAACCCCATGAAAATAACCCCCAATGTATCCTATTGGTTCTGCATCTTTGAAAATACCGACAGTACACTCAACTTGTGGCCCTAAGTTTCTACAAACAGTTTGGGCTTTCCGATTTGGTTGACTAGACCTTGGTTGGTTTCCCAATCAGTTCCTACCTTGGCTCCTTCCTCTGACCCAGCTGCCTCCTGTACCCTCAGGATGGCTCCACTTCTGGAGAAACTCAACCACCAGTCTAATCTGGGCTGCCTGTGCTCCTCACCTCCCAACAGCAGGAGATGGCAAAGACTCATGAATGACAGCAGTTTTCAAGGTCTGSCAGAAGACCAGGAGTCCATGAGGGAGACGGGGGTGGGGGTGGGGGAGCATCCAGAGAGCTAGGAAGAGAAGCAGGAGGGGAGGACATCAGGGGAGTCCTGGGAGACAGGAGTTTCAAGCAGAGGGAGAGAGGAGCCACCCTGGACGTGGAGGAAGACAGGAGAGAGACCAGGGTGTGTTGGTTTCCCAGGTGATGGTAGATATCATTCTCTGTTGGCCATTTAGGAGAGTGAGGGGTGGCAGGAGAGCCAGGAGAGGGTGTGAGGAGCAGGTGCAGGCAGGAGGGAGGAACCCTTTTTCAGGAAGTTTGGCGACACCTAGAGGACTGAGAGAGGATTTCCCCTAAGAAGCAAAGGGCTCACCTGGGTTCCTAGAAGTCTCAGGAATGCCAAGAGGTGAGGCTCAGCCCTCTGCCTCAGCAGGGAGTGGGCCTTTGGGCTGTGGCCACAGCTGGCTCTGGAGCCAGTGTCCCTGCAGGGCGATGCTGTGCGGGACACACCCTCCTTGCCACCCATCTCAGGGCTGCTGGGTCGAGGGGGGCTGAGGCTGGATGTGAGGGATGTGAGCAGATGTAGCTGACAAGGATGTGTCTCTCCAGACTATGGACAGTGTTGGGCAGAGGGGGAGGGGCATCCAGCTGGGCACAGGCCCAGACCCCCCCCCCAGGCCAGGAGGCAGGAAGTGTGGTCTCTGCCCTGTCAGTGGGTGGCTGAAGTCACCTTGGGGGTCTGGTGGTGCTGTCCAGCCTGGAAAGAACCAGGGGGCTGCCCATGGCCCACCTCCTGCACATGGCCCACCGTGGTGTGTGCTGAGAGCGAGTGAGGGGCCAGGGAGCTCCAGGCTCCAGAGCTGTAAGAGAAAAGGTCTGTGTTTTAACCCACTAGGCTTATGGAGCTTGTTGGAGTAGCCACAGGAAACCAACGCACGCACGCCCGCACACACGCACACCTGCAAAGAGTGATTTTTTAAAAAATAAGTGCATATGAAGAAAACCATAAAATTTTACCAAAAGGCATTTTTAAGGGACCTGAATGAGTAATTGGTACATGAGCGTGCGGTGGATGGAGAGGGGACGTTGTCAAACCAACCAACCAACGCGGAGCAGAGGGAGGAACAAGTGAAACACACGGTAGCAGAGCAGGGTGGGGGGCTGAGAGGGCAAGGCCTAGTTAATGTCACACACATTTCACACTGTGGTGTTTGGAGGAGTGGCGAGGGGACAGAGCATGCGTTGGATGGAGCACATCGTGTGAACTTGCTTTATTTCAGTTTTTGCAGAGTGGGGGTGGGACACAGGGCTTCCCTGATGCCTTGAGCCGCACCTCAGTGACTTAGCTAAGTGGTGTCGCGGCTGGGCGGAGGTGCCCAGGCCTTCCCTGCAAGCAGAGGTCTGAGCGGTGGTGCCCTGTGGAGGGCCGGGCTGCAGGGAGGGAGTCTCAGGGCTCTGTCAGGATGCAAAGGCATCAGCGGGACCAGCGGGCAGCGAAGGGACAGGGCTGGAGGACAGCCAGCGGAGCGCCCCCTACGGGGAGCAGGGCGCTAGGCGCCAGGGCAGCGGGCGGAGGGCCGCTCGCAGATCCAGAAGTTCTGGGCGGTACACTTGCTGTCGTTCCAGTCCTCCACGAAGAGCTCCACGCAGTCCTCGTCTCCGGCGTTGTTGGGCTCCCCCTCTTTCCAGTAGCTGCAAATCCCATCAAGAGATCCGTGAGCCCAGGGCCACCAGAGCCCAGCCCTGCCACCCCAGGAGCTGCTCCCTGAGCCTCAGCGCAGGAAGACCCGGCTCGGGCCAGGCAGTGCCGAGGAATCCAGGGACAGGTTTTCCAAAAGGTGAGCGCCAACCTCACCTTCGTGAAAACCACCTCCAGCAAAGGAAAAGTGCAGGTTCTGGGGCCCCAGGGGAGGCTGCTGGGACAAGGACCCCCCGGGGAAGGACGGGCACTACACCAAGTCTCTTGAATGCTTTCCACCAAAGCGTGAGTTAGGGGTGGGGTCCTTCCCCTGCCCACTCTGCACCATTGTCTCTGGGGAGCGTCACCTGAGCTGGAGAGGGGTATTGTCCACCCAGTACCAGGAACCTTCATTGTTGTGGTCACTGAGGCCGATCCAGGTACGCTGGCTCTTTCTGATGTCCCAGTACCTCAGGAACCTCTGTAGACGGGAGCATCAGGAGGAGGACCCCTTTCCCTGTCTGTCTACATTCACACTGTGCTCTGTTTCCATGGAAGTTCTTTCTGCAGTCTAGCCCAGAGCCCCTAGTCAAGTTGCAGGCACTGGAATGTATGTGTCAGGCTGCGGGTGTGTATCGATATGCACACACGCGTGGAAATGGGCTGACATGTCTCAGCTCGGAGTTGTGTGCAGGAAGGGATTGAGCTTGGTCTCAGGGGTGCTCTGAGCTTCCCTTCTGTCCATGCTCACCTCTCCTGTGCTCCCTTCTCCTTCAAGACCTCCCAAGGCCATTAGGACACCTCCCCCTAGAAGCCTTCCCTGACTGCGTCTCCTCCAACCCTGCCCAGCTGCCCACCAGGCCTCCAACCCTGAGGGCCAAGGAGGGTGCGGGAGGCCTCTCCTGGACCCGTTGGTAGCCCAGCCCCAGGCCAGAAGCTCAGGCAGCTACCTGCTCTGCAGCATTGTTGACGATCACCAGGTGGGCCCCCATGTCCTGGCAGGAGGAGACGGAATTCTCCCAGGTGCCCAGGGTCCGAGAGAAGAAGTAGCAGTTTCCCTGGAATGCCTCCCAGCCCCAGGGGCAGGGTCGGCACAGGGCAGCTGGGGAGGAGGAGTGTGGCTGGGACACGAGGCTGGGCTCCTGGACTCCCTGCCCTGCCCCAGCCCTGGCCCAGGGCCCAGCCCTTATGTTCAGCTGTCCGCTCAGTCTGCAAGAGTCCCAGGAGCAAGGTCCCAGCCCTGCCCTGCCCTCCTCACACTGTAGCCAGGCCCTCCTCAGACCCCCAGCTCCCTGCTGACCCAGGCCCCCGACCCCTACCCAGGGAGGTGTTGATCCAGGTCAGCTGCTGACGGACCTGCTCCAAGCCTGAGAGTACCTGCTCCTGAGAGGCAGCCCCTGCAACAAAAGGGGTTCTGCTATTCATCACCTGCTGTGTGTTTCCGCAGAGAGGGCCCCGTGCAGATGTCCTCTGTGGATCTCACCGTGACCACAGGAGCCCCACTTTGCAGGCCAGAACACTGAGCCTCAGAGACTTGCCCAACACTGCCATCACACATGTGTCCCCCCCACAGCAGTGGCTTGCCCATGTCACACAGCCACGAAGCCCTCTCCTGCACAGGACCCTGACTCCAGCCCCTCACCCAGGCTGAAGTTGCTCTGATGATCCTGGACCTTTGCCTGCGGGGATCCGGGGGTCCTGGAAACTGCAAGAGAGAAGAGCATACCCCTCCTATGAGCACCGACTGTATGCCTGTCCCTGTGCCTAAGCTGCACACAGGGGAGGATAAGTTCCATAGCCCAGATGAAGAAACAGGCTCAGAGAGGGACATTAAGCTGCCCATAGCCACACAGGAAAGGATGTGTAGCTCTGATGTCCCAGCCCAAGTGGGTTAGGGCAGGACAAGGATTATCCCAGAGGGAAATCCCAGGGGCTGGGGTGTAGCTCAGTGATTGAGCACCTGCCTAGCATGTGCAAGGCCGAGGGATTGGTCCCAGCATTTTCTGGGCACTGGGGCAGGGAAATGGGGGGAGCCAAACACACATCTAAAAGGAGCCCAGAGTCCCACCCCCAAGCCCAGCAGATAGAGCCCCCTCCCTGACTCACCTTGAGCCAGGGTGGTCACCAAAAGCACAAAGCAGAGGCACAAAGAGCTGAGAAGCAGCAACAGAATCCAGGGGACTCGGGTCAGCCAGCCTGCAGGACCTGCAGATGGGCAGAGCTGGGCTTGAGGGACAGCTCTCTGCTGGAGAGGACCCCCTGCCACCCCACCCCTGAACCTGCCACCCCAGTACCTGGAAAGCTCTTTGGGCTCTGAGTGAGCATCTCGGGGTCTTTCTCAGTGAATCTCTGGCCTCCGAATGTTGCTTTCTCCTCTGAAGGGAGCAAACACTCTGAGCTGAGCGTGGAGGGCCAGGGCTGGAAACTCAGCCACCTCCCCCAGCTCAAGCTGGAGGCCCCACTCCCCCCACCACCTGAGGCTCTGCCTCCCCTGCAGCACCCAGGGAGGTCCAGCCTCACCCGGGAGGCCCAGCACCCTGGGATCATGTTCTCCTGCCATCTTGTGCTTGTGTCCACTGCCCCTCTGGCCCCCCTCTGCCCTGAGGTTCTTATAGTGCCACCACCACCAGCTGGACCAGCCTCCCTGACTCAGGAAAAAAAGGAACAGGGTGGAGGCACCCTCACCCCGGAAAAGTGTGGGGAGAGATGAAGCGCCTGACACAGCGAGGAGAGGGGGCTCTGGGTGGGGACAGGAGCTGCCAGTGGCACTGTTTCAACCCCCATCAGCACTGGAACCTGGGCCTCACCGCAGGGCAGCTGGGTCTCCTGGCWGGGACCTGGGTGGGTGCTTCTTCCTGGGTACAGGTGAGGGTGGAAATCTCGTGCTCCAGTGGAGGGTCCTGGCCATCTCCGGCCTTAAGATCTACAGACACTGCTTCTCAGGGGGCTCAGGACATGGCCAGCTCCAGCTGGGGCAGGGAAACTCTGACATCCAGGGCCACTTGGGATCTGGCTTTGTGGGTGCTGCCAGGGCCTTCCCAGGGGCCAGAGTGCTTGGAAAGCTTGTCTGGCCCTCCCAGATGACAAGGTACTGTGGCACTTCCCCTGGTGCTCCCTGCTGGGCTGTGCCTTGTGGCTGCTGGATGTCCACAAACCGCAGGTACCTGTGATGGAGCCTGCCATGCTGGGCAGCGCTCCTGAGCGGGCTGAGCACAGGCAGAGCCGGCACAGTCCAGCCACACACGACCCGACCCCCACACCCTGACCGACAGCAGCAACTGCCCCTGATGGTCTGTTGGGCTGCCCTGACGGAGCACCCCAGCCTGGCCGGCCTATGAGCAAGCCCAAGATCGAGGTGTGAGGTTTAGTGTCCAGCGCGGGCTGGCCTCTGGTCGGCAGATGGCATCTTGTCACTGTGTCTAGGTGTGTCGGGGTGGGTCATGGTCTCCTCTTTGTTATAATTAATGCATTTCTTTGAGGTGAGAAGTGTATTTTAGGGCCGGGGTGTAGCTCAGGGGAGAGCTCCTGTCTAGGGTGCGCGTGATCCTCCGCTCAGTTCCTGGCACTGAAATCCAGACCTGCACACGCGAGGTAAGGAGGGCGGGGCGAGCCCGGCACAGCACGTGCTGCTGCCCTCCGCTGGACCACGCCCTCCTGTGGCAGCCGCAAAGCCCCAGAGCATCAGCCAGGAGAGCGCGGCTGGGACCATCAGGCTGGAGCAGGGCATGGGACCTTGGCCACGTCCATGTCCCAGAGCTCCGTCCCAGCCTCGTGCTCCATGCTTGATAGCTACAGTGGACACCAGCATGCTGCTGTCCATCTTCCTCATGGACAGCGAGCTGGGTGATGGCCTGGAGTCAAGGGTGTCTCTTGGGAGTCACTCGTCCAGGATATTTTGGCTGCCTCTGGAGCTATAGGGTCTTGCGCTGCCCAAAGTGGAGCGACCTTCCCCTCTTTCCTTCTTCCTTCCCTGGCTTTGGACACCTTTCAGCGCTGCCGTGGGCCTGCAGAGGCATTGCGCTGGCTGCAGAGTGGGGAGGGGCAGGAGTTTCCTTCTTCGCCCTGGGCGCCATCTTGGTGAAATCCTGGGGTCTCTTTGGTAAGGGTAGAATTCCACCATGAGGACTCTGTCCTTGTGACCCAATTTCCCATCAAAGGGCCCCACCTCCTCATACTATCAATTTGGTTGAGGGCCAGGATTTCAATGAATGGATTTTAGGGTGAACAATTGTTCCACAAACCATGGCTTTAGCCTGGGTCTGGTCCCACTTCTTTTTCGAAAGAGGATGAGCAAGGGTTATCCTCTTCCTGATGGCATCTAACCTAGGGCCCTCCCCAAAGCACCTTTAAAAGGCTAGTCCTGGGCTGGGGATGTGACTCAAGCGGTAGCGCGCTTGCCTGGCATGCGTGCGGCCTGGGTTCGATCCTCAGCACCACATACCAACAAAGATGTTGTGTCAGCCGAAAACTAAAAAAAAAAAAAAATAAAAAAATAAATAAATATTAAAAAAATTCTCTCTCTCTCTTAAAAAAATCTTTAAAAAAATAAAAAATAAAAGGCTAGTCCTCCCAGTGCTTCCTCTTGCCTCTGCCTCGGTGCCCTCTGGTTACCTGTTGTGTGCACTCCCTCGCTGCATGTGACAAGTGACATCCTGGAATTTGTTGGGCACAGGTATGCTCCTGGTGGCCTTCAGTGGGGGCAGGGCAATAACATTCTTTACAATAACCCTACGGGACAGATGCAGATGCTGCCCTGATTTACCGATGAGGAAACTGAGGCGCAGAGGGTCGTAACGGTCTGTGGATACACAGCTTGCAGTGGGAGGCTGGCACTGAGCCCAGGCAGGGTCCCCCTGAGTTCACGCTCAGCCATCCCACTAAGCAGACCCTGAAACACGGGGGGAAAAGGCACTCATCAGGGCCAGGACGGGAGTTGCAGCAGTGGGAGGGGCTCTTTTTTCCTCCACTTGAGTTACCTTCTGCTGTTCTTTCACTTTCTCCTGAAGGAGAACCATCATTTCTTGTATTCTCCTAAAAAAAACCATCATGTAACATTTACGCTATTAACCATTAAAAGTGGGCCACGGAGGGCACCCAGGACCTTCAGCGAGTTATGCAGATGTCGTCACGACCTAGTTCAGGTCATTCTCATCTCACCCATAGGAAGATGACCTGCTCCCAGGCCCCAGGACACAGGGCACTGCTCTCTGGGTCTGTGGGTCTGCCTGTTCTGGAGATTTCCTATCAGTGGATCCCACAGTGAGCAACCTTTGTCTGCTCTTACTGACAGAGTAGTTTTCCACTTTATCCACATGGGCTGTGTATCAGTGATTTATTCTTCTCAGTAGCTGAAAATACCTTTGCTGGATTTAGGATTCTTGGTTGATGTTCTTTTTTTTAGTATTTTGAATATGTCATCTCACCTCCATGTTTTTTTTTTTTTTTTTTTTTTTTTTTTTAGAGAGAGTGAGAGTGGGGAGAGAGAGAGAATTTTTAATATTTATTTTTTAGTTCTCGGCGGACACAACATCTTTGTTGGTATGTGGTGCTGAGGATCAAACCCGGGCTGCACGCATGCCAGGCATGGCGTGCTACCGCTTGAGCCACATCCCCAGCCCCACTCCATGGTTTTTGAAGAGAAATCAGCTTATAAAAATAAGAATAGTCTTTAGCAATAGAATTATATGTGATGGTTACTACAATGGTCTTAGGGAAGGGTTTGGAGCATGGTCAGATGCTTCCCCAGAGCCTCTCTCATCCTTTTGGTTTGATGTGTCTGAGTGTGACTGTCCCTCAGTTTATTCTACTTAGAGTTCTCTGAGTGTCTGGATTTGTAAACTCAATGCTTACCATCACACATGCAAAGTTCTTGGTCATGACTTCTTTTCTTTTAAATATTTTTTTGGTTGTAGATGGTCACAATACCTTTATTTTATTTTTTAAAATGATATTTTTGTTAGTTATTGATGGACCTTTATTTATTTATTTGCTTATATGTGGTGCTGAGAACCCCGTGCCTCACACATGCTAGGCAAGGGATCTACCACTGAGTCACAACCTCAGGACCCCTTTATTTTATTTTTATGTGGTGCTGAAGATCGAACCCCGTGCCTTCCATATGTGAGGTGAGCGCTCTACCACTGGGCCACAACCCCAGCCCTCGGTCATGACTTCTTCAAATTCTTTTCTGCACCTTCTCCTCCCTCTTTACCTTCGGACACTTTTAATGTGGGTATGTTGGCATTCTTAATGGTGTCCTAGAGTCTCTGAGACTCTTTTAAATTTTCTTTGTTCTATTTTTTCCTGTTCCTCAGACTGGACAAGCTCAATTGRTCAATCTTCAGATTCACTGAATATGTTTTCTGCCTGCTCACCTCTGCTATGAGCTCATGATATGTGTATGTATTAGACTTTCAAGCTCCAGAATTTCTTTATGGTTCCTTTTTGTAATTCCTATCTCTTTATTGATAGTGTGTACTTAGTGAAATGCTGTTCTCATACTTTCCTTTAGTTTTTAGATACAATTTTCGTTAGGTTCGTGTGTGTGTGTGTGTGTGTGTGTGTGTGTGTGTGTGTGTTGCTAGGGAGTGAATCCAGGCCCTGCACATGCTAAGCAAGTGCTCCACCATGGAGCTACATACCCAAACCTCCGTTAGCTCTGTTAGCTCTGTTTAGTTGATTTAAAGTCTTTGTTAAGCCCAACATCTGTGTTCTCTCAGGGATACCTGGATAGTTGCTATGTAATTTTTTCCCTGTGTTTGGGCAATGTTTGCCTGTTTCTTGGCATGTTTCATATTTTTTCCTGAAAACTGGATATTTCAAACAATAAAACATAACAATTATATTTTTTAAACTTTGCTTTATTTATTTAAATTATTTTTAGTTGTAGTTRGACACAATAMCTTTATTGTATTTATTTATTTATTTTTATGTGGTGCCCACGGTCGAACCCAGCGCCTTGCACATGCTAGGTGAGCGCTCTACCCCTGAGCCACAACCCCAGCCYCCCCCAACATAACAATTATGAAAATCACATTCTCCACCCTGTTGTTGCTGCTGATTGGTGCAGTTATTTGTTTAAGGACTTTTCTAATGAACTCTGTAAATATATGTTCCCCATCAGAGTCACTGAAGTCTGCACTTGATTCCCTTAGTGATTGGCTCAGGATTGGACAGAAATTTCCCTGAGTGCCGAAAGCAAGGGTCTCTCTGGCTGTTTGCTAAGGTGTGGTGTGTGCCTGTTGGAGCACACCTTTACCTCCCACTAAGGGGGCTCGCAACTGTGTCTTAGCCTTCACCTCCTGCTAGGGCAGAACCTCAAAGTGAGCCAGAGCTGAGAGCTTTGGCTTTCTGAGATCTTTCTAGAACATGCACACCAGTGATTTCCAAGATTCCCAAGAATATGTCAGAACTTTTCAAAATCTCTAAAGGCATCTCATTCCTTCATTTTTCCTTTTTAAGATTTTTGGCTAGAATGAAAATGAAATCAGCATACAAAAGTGATACCTGCAGGYCCATGTTTAGTGTGGCACTGTCAATGTCTCCAGGGATGGGTCCTGCAGTTCCCAGAGGAGAGCGGCARCTTGACTGGGGACCAGTGGGATT